GATGTGACTGACTCAGGTTCGCTCCTTGGCATCCCCTATTGCTCCCTGAGCATGACCAGGAATGATTCCTGAGTGCAGAGCAGGAGTGAGCCCTGAGCACCACCAGGTATGGCCCCAAAACTTAAACAATAACAACAACAACAACAAAACTCATAGCACAGCGGGTAGGGAGTCTGCCTTGCACGCAGCCAACATGGCCGACCCGAGTTCGATTCCTCCGCCCCTCTCGGAGAGCCCGGCAAGCTACCGAGAGTATTCGATATGCCAGACACAGTAACAACAAAGTCCCCAATGGAGACGTTACTGGGTCCGCTCGAGCAAATCGATGATCAACGGGAGGGCCTTTACTTTTACGTTACTATTTTTATACTAATAACTTGTTAAAATGATTTTAGTTTAAATTAGCTCAATTAGTTTAAATAAAATATTTAAATTTCACCTGTTTCTTATTACTTCTTAATGAGATTGCTAGAAACCTTTTCCTTACAGATGTGACTCGCATTATTACCTCGTTATGTTTCTCTGTTCTAGATTACCGTCAGAAAAATATGCAGTAACTTTCAGGGGGGAAACCACATCTGGCGATGCTCAGGGGTCACTCCTGGCTCTGTGCTCAGGGGTCATTCCTGGCAGTACTTGGGGGACCACATGGGATGTTGAGGATTGAATGTGGGTCAGTTGTGAGGAAGGCAAGTGCCCTACCCACTGTAGCACCTCTTCCACCCCTGCAGAAACTTTATATTTGTACTGCCCTCGGGGAGAGGGAGGCTCAAAAGTTTGTGTGGGGTGGCCAGCTGACTTCACCCCCATTGGTATCACCAGGTCCCTTTTTGTTTGTTTGTTTGGGGGCCACACCCAGCAGCACTACTCAGGGCTTCCTTCTGGCTTTGTGCTCAGGGATCACTATGGGTGGGGCTCTCAGGTCATTTGCAGTACCATCTTGTCCCAATTTAAAATCCAAATGCATTGGTGGAGGGTAGTGGGTGCTCTGGTGGAGGGTGTGGTGTTGGGACAATGTATACAGAAAACTGTCATTAACAGTATTGTAGGAGCTAGAGAGATAGAGCAAAGGGAAAAATGCTTGCCTTGCACAAGCATTTTGTGCAACCCTGGTTCAATCCTCAGCACTTCATATGGTCCCCCAACCCTGCCAGGATTGAGCCCGGAGCACAGAGCCAGGAGGGAAGCCTGAGCATCACCAGGTGTTTTGCCCCAAAACAGAACCAAAAAGACAGTACTATAAATCATGCTACCTCAATAAAATAGGGGAAAGCCTCAAAAACTAAAAAACCAAACATTTGACATGTCACAAGCCATGGCAAAAAAGACACTAGGGACTGGAGTGATAGTACAGTGGGGAGGGCATTTGCCTTGCACGTGGTGGACCCAGGTTCAATTCCCAATATCCCATATGGTCCCCTGAGCACCAGGAGTAATTCCTGAGTGCAGAGCCAGGAGGAACCCCTGAGCATTGCCGAATGTGACCCAAAAAGCCCCCCTCCAAAAAAAAGGAAGAAAAGAAAAGACACTAGGAATGTACCCCAGTGTGAGGGAGCAGGGACGTGATTCTGCAGTAGCACTACCTTCTTTCATGCACCTTGACACTGCCAGGGAGAGGGAGAGGGAACACGGAGCACGAGAGATGGGTGACTAGGTGCCAAGGAGCACAAGGATCTTGCAAACGTGCCATCACTGTCCTCTTTGCCAAGGCCACGGAGTCATGCCAGATCTTACATGAGCCCGGAGCGTGATGTATATAAACCAGTGCCAGGCTGGTCTGCTCTGTGGGAAGACAGGGGTTTCTGCCCCGCAGAAATATCATTATAACCAGGGCCTGGCTGGATGGAAAAGGCAAAAATTTCTCCCAATGGTAGTTGCAAATGTTTAGTTTCTTTTTATTGACTAGCTGTTGATTTTTTTTCTCTTTTTGGGTCACACCCGGCGATGCTCAGGGGTTACTCCTGGCTTTGCACTCAGGAATCACTTCTAGCGGTGCTCGGGGGACCTTATGGGATGCTGGGAATTGAACCCAGGTTGGCCGCGTGCAAGGCAAAAGCCCTACCTGCTGTGCTATTGCTCCAGCCCCTGACTAGATGTTTAATGCTGTTTTTCCTTAAGCATCAATGGGAGGCATCCTGGATGCTTCCCACCCTCACACTCTGGGGTATGACCCTGGAGGACCCCCCAGTCCCACTGCTGTTAGGGGTATGTCCCTAACAGCTCACACCGTGACTCCCACACCATTGGCTCAGAACAGCAATGCATTCTTGGGTCTTCAGGCTGAACATTAAACCATCAGATCTGGCTGGCTGAGCACCACCACTGAGAAGGTCCCCCAAACTCCCTGAACACTGTCTGGGAGGTTCCCCTCCCCTGGAAACAAACTAAAACCCTCTTGGGGCTAGAGAAACAATAAAGGTTTCAGAACTTGGCTTGTCTGTGATGGACCCAGTTTCAATCCTGCCACCACAAATCTAATCCCCCAGCCCCACCCCCTCAGCACAGAGCCAGGAGTGAGCCCTTGAGCATTGGCGTCAGTGGCCCAGAAGACCAAAACAATGAATCCAAATCCAAATATCCCTACACATGTGCCCTATGAGTTAACTGACAAAATGAGATTCAGGATCGGAACATCAAGTGTGAGATGCCGGGGAATGACCTCTGTGGGGTCCTGGGTCCTTGCCATGTGCCCAGAAAAGACCTGCGTGTGTGGGATTTGAGGAATGTAAGAGTCTGACTCCTGGCTCTCAAGACACAGGCTTCCTAAACCATGTGGGGGGGGGGGAGGGGCGGAAAGGGGCAACACCTGCTGCAGCCCAGGGCACTTCCATCTGGGGCCCTTGTTGTGCTCTGTGTGTGTGTGTTGGGGGGGGGGGGTGCAAGGGGAGTCAGTCTTGGCTGCTAGTAGTAGAAGCAGGACCAGAGCTGGACCTCGTAGTGGAATGCCAGAGGAAACTACCCTGCCCAGGAAACGCCCAGCACTGCCCTGGGGTTGGGCTGTGTTAAGAGAAGGAAAGGTCTAGAAGGCCACTCGGTTATCTGTCTCAGGGGTTTCCACATGCCCCCAACCCCAGCCCACGAGGTACACCTTTCTGACATCCCCATCCACTGTGACCCACCCAGACAGACAGGACTAAAGCCATACTGCAGGGTCCAAAGCAGCAGCAGTTGGTTTTTTTTTTTTGGCCAAGGGAGAGGCTGAGTCATAACTTGGGTGCTCAGGGGCTGCTCCTGTTTCCGCACACATTCTCGCCAGGTGGTGGGTAGAGAACCACAAGCGAGGCCTGCAGCAAGGCAAGTGCCTTAACACCTTCCAGCCTCCACCCCGCGCTTTGGCCCCAGGCGGCAGCTTCTGACCCCTGAGCCGGGATCCTGCACGCGTGCGCGCGCGCCGTCGCCAGCCCGGGGCCAGTGTTCCCAGGAGGACTCCTTCCTGCACAATCGCTTCTGCCCGCGGGGCCAGCAAGCCTTCCAGACTCCTTCCAGAAAAGCGCACTCCATGAAAGGCGATTAGATCATTGAAAGTTTCTGTTTATTATTATCACCATCACTCTTTTGGTTTGGGGGCCACACCCGGCTCTGGGATCATACCTCGCGGGGCTCTGGGGACCAGAGGGGGTGCCCTATGATCGAACCCCCAGTTTGGTCGCGCGTGGAAGGCAAACGCCCAGCTCGCTGTTCTATCCTTCCAGCCCCCTAATGTTTTAAAACATTATTATTTGGGTTTGGGCGCTTACCCCCTAAAAATTACTCAGTTTTAATATGACCATGGGGGGTTGGGAGGGCAGAAAGTACAGTGGGGAGGCGCTGGCCTTGCACGTGGTCGGCCTGGATTCGATCCCCGGCACCCCATATGGTCCCCCGAGCGCCACCAGGAGTAACCCCTGAGCATCGCACGGTGTGGCCTCCTTAGTCCTCCACCCGCCCCCTCAGAAATAGCGACCATGAAAGACTCTGACAAGCTCGCTTTCCAAGAAACGTCTTAAACCACCGGCACCAGATGAGCAAACCGACCAGCACTGCACAGGTTCAGACCTCACACACGCTCCGGGTCCGCTCCCGCCCTCCGGGCTGCGGGAGAAGCTTCCCCTAGCCCTGGGATGGGGGGTCAGGGTCCCATCTAACCCGAAGCCCCGAAGCGCCCCCGCCGCCCGCCACTTCCTGCACTGCTGGGGGTCGGCAGCGGGGGGCGAGGGTTCCCCCGCGAACCCGTCCGGCGGAGCCCGCGGGGAGCCCAAGCCCAGCCGGGCCAGGTCCCGCCCCACCGCGGGCCCCAACTTGGTGACCTTGAACGAGTCCAAGAACTTTCTCCAGGCCTCTGCGCCCGGGTGTGCAGGGGGGCCGAGGGGCGCGCCGACCCCGCTCCCAGCCGCCGCGTGCTGCCAACTCCCAGGGGGTGCGGACGGGGCCGCCACGCTCGGAGGCTGATGCCCAGGCGCAGGGAGGGGGGTCCCTCTGAGCGCCCCCGGGGGCTCTGGGGGGTCCCTGCGGCCGGCTCGGCGCAGAGGGAACCCCCAAAGCCTGGGCCGAGGCCGGGAGCAGCGGGTGCGGAGGGCGAGCGGGACCCCCCACGCCCGGCTCGCGCCCACCCGCGGCCCCGGGAGGGGCGGGGCCGGGCCGGTCCAGCCTCGCCGGCGCGCACCCCCGCGGACCCCGCCCTCGGGCCCGCCCTCCGCTGGCCCGCGCCCCCATTGGCGGCGTCGGGCAGCGCGGCCGCTGTTATTTTTCGAATATATAAGGAGGTGGAGGTGGCAGCCGCGCCGAGAGGCTTCCCGGGCCGGCGGCTGCTCCCCGCGTCCCTCCACCCCTCCCCGCCCTTCCCGCTCCCCTCTCCTCCTTCCTCGCCTCCCTCCCTCCCCCGCACCCCGAGACCCCCGCGGCCCGCGCCCGTCCGGTGCCCACGCGCGCGGCGATGGAGCGGCCCCCGCCGGGTCCCGCGCCGGGTCCCGCGCCGGGCGCGGCTCGCAGCCCACCGGCCTCCGCGCGCCCCGGACACCTCCCGGGGCTCGGGCTGGGCAGCCCTCCGGGCCCCCCGGGGTCCCCGTCGCGCCCGCTGGCCGCCTCGCCGGTCACCAGCCTGGCCAAGAACATGCACAAGCTCGCGGGGCTCGGCAGGTAGGGCGCCGTCCCGGAGGCTGTGCGCGCGCGCGGGGTGACAGCGGGGCAGCGTGCGGGACCCACGCGGGACCCACGCGGGCAGGGGCCGGGCGCCAGCAGGAGGCGCGGGAAGGCGTCCCCGGCCGAGCAGAGCCGAGCCCGCAGCGCGGCTGGCGGGCCGGGAGGCGCTGCTGACCCGCTGCGGGGCAGGGCTGGGCTGGGGTGGCGCTCGCCGCTGGGGGACCCTCCGCTCCACGCCCTCCTCCAGGCGGCCTGCGCTCTGGCCAAACGGCCACCATTTTAACCCAAGGAGGAGCAGTGGACTGGCCTCTAGACTTTACAGGGGGAACTCGCCAGAACTGGAATCCCCTCCACCCCCCCTCAACACACACACCCCCCCCCCCCCCCGCCCCAAGTTCTGGTCCGCAGTAAAGGGCTTCAGCTCGGAACCGCAGCCTGAGCAAACCTCCAGGCTGGACCCGTCTGTCTCCAACCCAAAGCTCCTGGAAGGGCTGGAAGGGCTGGGTTGGGCACTGGGGATCTGGGGACAGCCCCCTTACCTCTGGTCCCCAAGCATCCTGGTCTTGCCTTGGGCTCATCTTCCCCCTCCCTCCTCCCCTCCCTCTTTCTTAAGTCATCATCAGAATGGGAAGGACACTGATCTGAGACAGTGAACCTGGGACAAGTGGGAGCTTCTGAGGGAGGTGGCCAGTGGGGGGAACAGGAGCCCCACATTGACCTTTCTCCTTCCCTTGGTCCCTGCCCCCTTCGCAGAGACACCCCAAGGGGTCAGGCAGGCAGCCTGCTCACGTGCCCGGCCCTGGCCCGTCTTGGGTCCGAGTCCTCCTTGTCATCTGAGACTTCTGAATCTTCAGATGCAGGTGAGGCCCAGGAGAGGTCGGGAGTTGTGGAGGCTTGGGGGGGAGGGGCGAGGCGCTGCCTGAGCCTCTCCACATCCTTGCTCATCAGACGAACTTGCTTCCCACAGCCTGTGGCCCCGCCTTCCCCACCCCTGTCCACCTCTGGGGGTGCTCTGCACACCCCGCCCAGACGAGCTGAGCTGGTGGTTGGGTGGGGCGCTCTGTGGGCGATGCAATCTTACCTATTTCAAACCCGGCGCCCAAATTCTCAGCCACAGCCCCACCTGAGAGGCATTAGGGCTGAAGCCACGCCTGTGATAACCTTCACTTGAGTTACAGCCTTTTCCTCCAAGGGCCGTTGGGTTTTCTATAAGATAAACTAGCATGCATGGGGGAAAAAGTGCTTAGCAAAGGTTTGGTTTGGTAACATGGCTAGTCTGGGGTGGAGCACTTGTCTTGCAATGTGTGAAGCCCTGGGTTCCACCCCAGCACAGCCCCCCAAAACCCTGAAACAGAGGGGTTTCCATAGTGAATTGGGAATGGAACTCCGTGTAAGTTGGGGACCAGCATGTCAGCCTTAGGACCTATGGGTGGGTTTTATTTATTTATTTTTAGGCACCCAGACTAACATTAAGACTCCCCCCCTCTCTCCTGTGGGGTGGGGTGGGGTAGGATGAGGACAATATCAGTACTGTCAAACCAAAGCACCCTGACCCCGCAGGTCTCTGCATGGAATCTCCCAGCCCCCTGGACCCCCAGATGGCAGAGCAGACGTGAGTAGAGAAGAGGGGTCTCCACTCCAAGGAACTGGGGTCTGCCTTTGGGAACCCAATTTTCACATAAACTCTCTCAGGTCCCTCACATCTTTCCCTGAGGGGGGAAAGGACCTTCCCAGATCCCAGGGGTCTGCTCTTAGGGAGCAGCCAAGAGTGGACTGGGGGACAGTGGCCACTGGAACCAGTGGACGCAAGACTCCAGCAAGCTCCTGTTTGTGAGAATGTAGCTGTGGCATGTGTCCTGCTTTTTCTGTTTGGGTCTCACCCAGTAGAGCTGGGTGCTACTACTCTTGGCTCTGTGCTCTGGGGTCACTTCTGGCAGTGCCGTGGGGCACCATATATATATAGTGCTGGGGATCAAGCCAAGGACGGCTGCATGCAACGCAAACGCCTTAATCCTAGTAGAATCCAACCCCTTCTGTCCAGTTCTTCTGCTAATATCTTTTTTAAAAAAAATTTTGTTGACTTTTTGGGTCACATCTGACAATGCTCAGAGGTTATTCCTGGCTCTGCAGTCAGGAATTAGTCCTGGCAGTGCTTGGAGACTATATGGGGTACTGGGTATCAAACCCAGGTTGGCCGCGTGCAAGGCAAGTGCCCTACCCACTATATTATCGCTCTGCCCCCCCACCCCTTTTTTAATAGCAAAATTTAAAGCTCTTTTAGCTGTGTGGCGGAACTGTAGCTCAGTAGTAGACCTCTCTGCTGCCCATCTGAGAGTCCCTGGGTGTGATCCCTGCCACCCACAAGAAAAAGGTCTAATTGGGGTCAAAGAGACCTTGTCTTTGCTCGAATGGCCTTTGATCAGAATGGGCTGGGCTGCAGGGTTCCTTTACAAACAGGAAATGGGGAGAGAAATGGGTGTGGGCCCTGCAGATCTTTTTCTGACAGCAACACCAAACCATCCCTGTGTTACCCCGCAAGGTACAGGTGTGCCTTGGAAACTGAGCCACTAAAATGGGTAATTCCTTATGCCACACTGGCAGGGCCCAGCTTTGCCAATCCTGAGACCATCCTTCCCACACTAGCCCTCTGTGCCCTCCCCCCCTACCCCCGCCCCCATTCTGCACCTGCTTTGACGGTTACACAGCTTTCCAGAAAGAAGCATGTGCGTGTGCGCGCACGCGTGCATGCCTAAATGCACAAAAGCCCACATGGCAGGTGGTCTGTGACTACATAGCTGGGGGTGGAGCCCGTCTGCAGAAGCTTAGGCCCCAATCTCAAAAGGCACATCTGTTGGAATTCCTAGCCTGCTGGCCTCTTGGAAGGCAGGAGGAGGGGACAGGACAAGGGCTGGCTCTTGGAAAATTCCAAAGGAGGGAGGCAAGGATGTGTGCCCTGCACATTTGTCACTTGGTGTCTGGGTGGAAGACCAGGACTGATGGGGTGAAAGAGGGTATTGACCCAGGTTCCTGTCCTGGGGGAAACCGCCCCACGCCAGGAGCAAAGCTGGAGACAGACGTGTGTGTGTGTGTGTGTGTGTGTGTGTGTGTGTGTGTGTTGGGGGTCCGGGGTGGGGGTGCACGACCTGATGCCTTTTCTGGCCATATGGCCCCGCTGGGAGGTGATTTGCATACAGGTGGAAGGCCTGTGGGCTGGCTGGCAGACTGTTGCCCGGGTAACGCCTCAGGGGCCTTGGACCTGTGACCTGCCCCAGCTGTTCCTGGGCCTCTTCCTTTTACAGCTGCCTGCTCTCATGTTCTTGCACACTGCACCCCCCCACCCCGCATAAATACCTGCCCCCCCATCGTCCTGCTTCACTTTTGTTTTGTTTGGGGGCCACCCCTGGTGGTGCTCTGGGGTTATTCCTCGCTCTGCATTCAGGGATCGCTCCTGGATGGGGGTAGGGGGTCGTATGGGGTGCCAGGCATTGAACCTGGGTTGGTTGCGTGCAAGGCAGGTGCCCTACTTGCTGTGCTATTGCTCTGGCCCCAGATTGCCCCCCACCCCGCCTTCATCCTATCTCCCTTGCACACTGGTCTGCGCCCTGAGCCATATGGACTGGGACGAAGATAGGATGACAGGCTGCATGGTACCTCTCTCTCTTTTAGGTTTGAACAGGCCATCCAGGCGGCCAGCAAGGTTATTCGCAAGTAAGTGTTGGGGCATCAGCACAGGGGACCTCCCAACTTTGGGCTTGCCCCCGGTGCTGTAGGCACAAGCGGGGCTCTGGGCCCTGTGGAGGAGGGGCACCCGACGTGCTCAGTCCTGCCCCGAGCCCTCAGCCTGACGATCCCTGTTTCCTTCTGCAGTGAGAAACTTGCTTTTCGGCGATTCCAGTCTTTGCCGGTGAGTGGCCTCCTGAGGTCCAGGAGAACCCTGGACATGCCAGCCTGCTGTGGACAGAGGTTGGGGTGGGGGAGGGGAGGTGGGCAGCTTCTGAAGGACGGGCTCAAAGGGATGGGGTGTTCCGGGTCTGGTGGCAGGAGAGCGGGTGTTGGGGGGCCCGGGGAAGGCCCCCTGCTGTACCTACTCCCTTCCTGCAGGGCCGGCTTCTGGGACACAGTCCCGTGCTGCGGAATGTCACCAACTCCCAAGCGCCCGGCGGCTGGAGGAAGCGAGAGGCCTGCAGCCGTTTGGGGACAGAACATAGCCCCGGGAAGGACAAAGAGAATGTGCGTTCCTGGGGCACGGCGGAGGAGCCCTCCAGAGGGAAGCCGGCCTGTGTGCTGGGGCTGAGGCTTCTCTGGCATCTGATGAGCCCCCCCGTGCTCCCCTCCTCTTGCCCACAGGATGGGTTTGTCTTCAAGACGCCGGGGACGCCCACCACCCCCAGCCAGGCTCCTGCTCTGGCCAAGTGGATCAGCCACAAGGAAGCCTTTGCCCAGAGGCCAAGCTCAGCACCCGACCTGATGGTGGGTCGGGGTGGGGGGAGATCTGTGGAGGTGGGCAGGCGTACGTGAGCCTCAGTGGCCCTCTGGCTGTCTGAGAACCTCTTCTCTGAAGGATGGGGTTGGCACTGCCTGGGTCCCCCACCACTGAGTAGCCTCCTTGTTCATCAGTGCCTTACCCCAGAGCGGAAGATGGAGGTGGATACACTGAGCCCTCTTGCCCGGAGCCCCTTCTCCTTGACCCCCACCAAGGGGTCCCCCGAGGAGGATGATGGATTCGTGGACCTCTTGGAGAAGGACCTAAAGGTAAGCAGCCTGGCCTCACCCCTGCTCCTACCTCCTCCCTGCCTGGGATCCCCCCCCCCCCCCACCCCCGGGGATCTGAGATCCTGCAACGACTGGGACCTTTTCCCAATGTCAGAAGAAAGCTGAGGAGCCGCTGTTCCCCCTGGTTCTGCACCAGCCCGCACCACTCATAGGTTTAGGGTGGGGGTCCCTGTGTGGAGGTGCCATGGCCAAGCCAAAGAGGGCTGCTGAGCTGGGGTTCGCAGGGTGGGGGGTGTGGGTGAGATTCAGCCAGCGCCTCTGGGTGTGACCTCGCTGATTTGGCCTCAGGATGACGATTCGGTCCCCCCAAGCATGGAGAGCCTCATTAGCGCCCCACTGGTCAAGACCTCGAAGAAGGAGGAGGAACAGGTGATCCTCGCTGCACCCATTTCAGAACTGGGAAGGGTGGGCCCTCTGCTCCCCCTGTCAGGGGAGGCTTTCTGGGGGAGGGGGGGTGTCCAGGCACTGGGCGCTCTGACCCTCACCTTTTCACCTGCCAGGACTTCATCATGTTCAGCAAGTGCCGGCGTCTCTTCCGCTCCCCGTCCCTACCCTGCAGCGTCATCCGGCCTATCCTGAAGCGGCTGGAGCGGCCGCAGGACCGGGAGGGCCCAGTGCAGAGCAAGCGCAGGAAGAGCGTCACCCCTCCCGAGGAGGAGGAGGATGAGGGGGAGCCCGAGGAGCCCGTGAGCAGGGCTGGTCGCTATGGGCAGCGAGCAGGGGAAGGGGACCAGGGGGTGCTTAGGGCAGTGTGCAGGGGAAGGGGGGGTTCTCCTGCAGGGCCTGACCTCTGCCTCCGTCTGCCTTGAACCCCAGAAAGCCCGTGTCCTTCGCTCCAAGTCCTTGTGTCACGACGAGATCGAGAGTCTCCTGGACAGTGACCACCGAGAACTGATCGGGGATTACTCCAAGGTGCCGCTAGGTGGAAGGGGACCCCCCCCCCAGGAGGCAGAGTGTCCCCCACCACTGTGAGGCCACCTTGCCTGGGAGCGGCAGCTCCCGCCCCTCCTCAGGCACCCTTTGCCTTTCCTCCACTGTCCTTGATTGGCCCCAGACTCCCACCCCTACTCCATCAGGCCTGTCGGGCTCTGCTGGGAGCGTCTTTTCCAAACTAGCGTGTCCAGGGCCTAGAGGTGATAATGCGTATAGGGCCCTTGCCTCGTGCACGGCCCGCCTGGGTTTGATCCCTGCATTCCTGAGCACTGCCAGGAGTGATCCCTGAGCACAGAAACCCATGTCTCATTTGGAGCTGTCGTCTCCTGAACTGGGCAGGGGTTGGGGGCCGGAAGTGGGGAGTCCATCTTGGCTCCCCTGGGCAGGTGATTCCCTGAGTATGGGAGCTGGAGGCGTCTTTTCAGTGACTGTGGCACCAGGAATGTGTGAAAGGTCCAGGCAGGTGTGACCTCTGGGCCGGAGAAGGAAACCCCTTCTGTCCTTTGAAGTCCCTCCTCTCCCTCTTCCCCCCACAGGCCTTCCTCCTGCAGACTGTCGATGGGAAACACCAAGACCTGAAATACATCTCGCCAGAAATGGTACTTGAGTCCCACCATGTGCACTGGGGACAGGGCTGGCCCGTGGACCATCCCCAGGGTGTGGCAGCCCATGCTGGGTGGCTGCAGAGGTTGACCCCCTGGGATTCCCCTCCTCTCGCCTCCCTCAGATGGTGGCTCTGCTGACGGGCAAGTTCAGCAACATTGTGGAGAGGTTCGTGATTGTGGACTGCAGGTACCCCTATGAGTACGAAGGCGGACACATCAAGGTGAGGCCGGTGATGTGGTCTTGGGTACCCCCCTCCCCCGCAGTCTGTTATTGCTTGGCCTGGAGCAGGCATGGTGGAGGGGGAAGGGCCTCCCCAGCCAGACGTGGGGGTCACTGAGCAGCAGAGGGGCGGCCTGCACCCCGCCGGGGCCTGATGTCTCGCCCCTGGCAGACGGCTGTGAACCTGCCCCTGGAGAAGGACGCGGAGACCTTCCTCCTGGACAGCCCCATTACGCCGTGCAGCCTGGAGAAGAGAGTCATCCTCATCTTCCACTGTGAATTCTCCTCGGAGCGGGGGCCACGCATGTGAGTGGCCGCTCACATCTGTTCCCCAGGGTGCTCTGTGGGTGCTGGTGCCACCTGAGGCCTCGCCCCGCTTCTCCGCTCACTGGCCTGCATCTCACCTGTCAGTGGACCCTGTCCCCGCTGCCCTGTGCCACCTCCGTCCGCTGGCTCCCCCTCCCCGTCCTTCCCTGCCAGCTCTGATCCCTGGGGCCACCCCACAGGGTCATTTCCAGCCTCCAGCGCTGTTCTCAGTGCCTCTGACCCTGGCCGCTCTGGGCTCTCAGGGCCCCCTGGGAAGGAACACTTGTCCTGGCAACCACAGCAACTTCCCCTGAGCCCCAGGGTGTCCTGTTCAATGCCCATGGGTGGCCAGCCTGGCCCGGCCTGTGTGCTGGGGTCTGACCTACACCCCCGCTGCTCCCGAGGGCCACCCCCATGAGTCCTCACTGGGTGTCCACCTCCCCAGGCTGCTCCAGGGTCATCTCTATCCTGCCTTCCTCCCAGGTCCTGACTTCACCAAGTCTGCTTCAGGCTTCCTGGATGTCCATGTGTGTTTGTTTGTTTTTGGGGGTCAAGGGGTGCTGCCTTCTAAGTGTTCCCCAAGTGGCCTGGGACCATCCCTGATGACCCTCAGCCAGCCAGGCTGAGCGTTTAATGCAAGGGTCCAAGGATGTGGAGTTGCAAGGGCCCCTGCAGTGCTGAGGACCCCCAGGGCCACCCCAGTGCCCAAGGGCTCCAGGGCTACACGGGGCCATGCTGTGTGTGTGATTGAACTGCAGTCAGCATGCCCCTAGCCTCTGGCCTCTGAGTGAGTGTTCCCAGCCCAGGAATGTATCTGTGTGGTGTGTGTGTGTGTGTGTGTGTGTGTGTGTGTGTTGGATCACACCCAGTGATGCCCAGAGGCAATTCCTGGCTCCGTGCTTCAAGAGACTGTATGTGGTGCCAAGGATTCTAACTGGGGTCGGCTGCATGCAAGGCCAGTGCCTTACCCACTGGACCCTCTCTCCTGTTCTCTTTTTTTGCGGGGAGAGGATGCGAAGTAGGTAACACACTCAGCAATGCTCAGGGCTTACTCCTGGCTCTGCACTCAGGAATTACTCCTGGCGGGGTATGGAGGGACCCTATGGGACGCCGGGGATTCACCCCTAGTTGTCCGTGTGCAAGGCCAACGCCCTACCCACCGTACTCTTCCCAGCCCCTCTCTCGGCTCTCTCCTTTCCTGGGGCCACCACTGCAGGCACCTCGGGATTGTGCCACTTTCAGTGGCGCTTTGGTTTCGCTCTTCCATCCATCCGCCTTCCCAAACCCTCTGATACCCTCTGCCTGCACAACTGACCCTGACATGCACCTGGGCCAACATGCTGGCGCTCTGAGACCTTCTGCGGCTCCCCAGGGCTCCAGGGAACCGGCCTCATGGGTCCCTGCCTCGCTCTGCCCTGACTCCCCACCCCCTCCACCCCGTCCCAGGTGCCGATTCATCAGGGAGCGAGACCGGGCAGCCAACGACTACCCCAACCTTTACTACCCCGAGATGTACATCCTCAAAGGCGGCTACAAGGAGTTCTTCCCACAGCACCCGGTACCACGAGGGGCTGGTCCCGGGGCTCCCAGGGAGGCTGGCACAGCAGGGGGTGACCCCCTTCCCCAATTGATCCACTCTTCCATCATACCCTAGAGCTTCTGTGAGCCCCAGGACTACCGGCCCATGAACCACGAGGCCTTCAAGGAGGAACTGAGGACCTTCCGCCTTAAGACCCGCAGCTGGGCCGGGGAGCGGAGCCGGCGGGAGCTGTGCAGCCGCCTGCAGGAGCAGTGACGTGCCCGTCTCGTGCCCATCTTGCTGCAGCCTTGCAGAGCCTCTGGAGGACTTGCTGGAGGCCCCGGGGTTGCCAGGAGAGGGACGGTGCGGGCGTCCCACCCACTGCTCCTGGCCCCCTCCCCTTCCTCTTTCCAACTCCCGCCCCCGCCCCCCAACCCCACCCACCCAGTGCCTGGAAGAGCCCTGACTGTTGACTAAGTGGAATTGGATTAAGTCCAGCTCAAAGGAAGGATTCTGGGTCTCAGGCGGGCGGGTTGGGGCCTGGTTACTGATTTGGTGTCGCCCTTCCTTGTTTGCGTTCACCCTTTGTCTTCCTGTGTCCTGGAAAGCCCTGTTTTCTCGAGGTGCTTGGTTTGGGCTTGGCGTGTATGTGTGGGAACCCCTCCCTCCCTGGGTGTCTCCCGCCTTCCGCCGCCCCCTGGGGGTGTCTGCCCTGCCCCTTTCTCTGTCCCTTTCTCTGTCCCTTCCAGCACACACCTATGCTCTTCTTCCTGTTTCAGTGTTACCTGCAGTGTTACCTGGGGTCTGCTGGGACCCCTGCTCGGGACAAGCCCGGGCTGAGGTGTGATCCCCTCTGCCACCTGTTCGAGGCCCATCTTTAAACTTGGGCTTGCATCAGGGTGCCTCGGAGAAAGGATGTTCTCCTCAGGGGGGTTCCTCAACCCCCCCTGGAAACTCAGCCACTACCGCCCCGAACTCTGAACCCCAGCACCTGACAGGTCCTTGTTGTGGACAGAAACACCTCATGGAAACACCTCCGCCAGTGCTCATATGCGTGTGCAACTGTCCGCGGGGAGGCAGGAATGAGGGGGGCAAGAGAAGACGTGTCCGGAACAGCTACACCCTGGCCAGACAGTGGGGCTCCCTCCCAGGAGGGGGAGGCGCCTTCTGGAAGGCCCTGCTGAGTCTCCCTTGGGGCTTTTGTTAATAAAGCACTGAGCAAGCTGAGTGAGTTTGGTTTGGCCCTCCCTGGGGAGGAGAACGGGGGTCACAGCAGGGCTGGGGGGTGGGGGGAGAGTCCTGGAGAGGGGCCTCTCTCCCTCTCCCCATCCCCTCCCCTGAAACCCTTCCTTTCCTGCCTTTCACTCTTGCCAGGATGAGATCTTGGCGCCCCCCCTCCCTACTCACGTCCCTCTGGGCTCCCCCGCCCTAGACCCTGTCCCACAAAAGCAAGACGGGTTCCTCCTCAGGGGCTGCCCGTGGCTCCACCTTCCCCTGAAGATACGCCCCTCATGTCCTTTAGGGCCAGACCTCAGCCTCTTTCCCATCTCCTGTGCAATCATTCACATTCCCACAGTCTGCTTTCCTGCCTTTGCCTTCCCCTCCTCCATGCCTTTCTTAGGGGCATTCTCCCAGCCTCGTCCCTCCACACGGGATTGTCAGATACTGCCAGGTGTGGTCCAAAAGTCAAGGGCCAAAGAGGGACTGGAGAGCGAGTACAGTATTGGGGGTGGGTGGTGGGGGAGGGCTAAGGGTGCTGGTGTGCTTGCCCTGCATGTGGTCAACCCTAGTTCAAGGGTTCAATCCTCAGCATCCCATATGGTGCCCCCCCACCCCCAAGGCTGACCAGGAGTGATACCTGAGCGCAAAGTCAGGAGTAAGCCTTAAGCCAGGTGTGGCCCCAAAACCCGCAAACAAAAGACCAGAGATAGTGCAGGAGCTTTAAGACCTGCCTTGCATGCAACAGCCCGGGGTTTTTTTTTGTTTTGTTTTTTGTTTTTTTGCTTTTCGGGTCACACCTAGAGATGTTCAGGGATTACTCCTGGCTCATGCACTCAGGAATCACTCCTGGCAGTGCTCAGGGGTCCATATGGGATGCTAGGAATCGAACCCGAGTCGGCCGCGTGCAAGGTAAACACCCTCCCTGCTGTGCTATCACTCCAGCTCCCAGCCCAGGTTTGACTCCTTACAAGGGGCACTGTGGGAAGGTGGTTTGGGTGACTTAGGCCGTTCTGATGGCTCAGGAAGGGAGGTCCCCACCCCACCCCACCCCCCACAAAGCAGGCAGTGGACGCTGAGATAGCATTTATTCAGATCCGGGAACTTGACCCCAAAGGGAAATGTAACAGGGCAGATCCTTGAGAAAGAGGAAGAAACTGGGGTGCTCTGGTCACTGTCTGGCTGAGACTTGCCCGCTCTGGTTTCCTGAAGCCGCCCCTCACCCTCGAATTCACAGAAGAGGCAGGTGGCTGGAGGATCAGAGAGGGTGCTCGCTGGCCCCAGGTCACACAGCAGCTGGAGGCAGAGCAGCTGCCTGGGGGTCCTGTAGCACTCCTTCCCTCTGACCTGAGTTCCAGACCTACCCCCGGGTGGGGCAAGACTGCCTGGCTCTTGCTCCGAAGGTCCCTGTCCCACTCATCAGTTCGTCAGGCCACTCATCAGTTGAAGCAGCAACCTCTAACAATGCCTGGGCTGAGTGCCAGAGCTGACATCAGGGCCTGCCGGATGCCACCTCCAATCAGAGTCCCAGCCCTGGTCAACGGGGGGCTCTTGGTGGGCTCCTCCTTGTCTTGCTTTCCTGCGTGACTCCATGTGACTGGGGGCTTCCCAGCTCTGGTGAAAGAGACACGCTCAGAACAGGAGCCAAGACTCTCCCCAGAGAAAACCTTGGAGCTGCGAACTCCCCCGAGGGGAGTGTGGGTCCAGGCCGGGAAGGGCGGGCATCTCCTCAGCTCAACTCAGGACCGCTTCAGCCCTGGGGAGTGAGGGCAGAGACACCCCAGAGCAGAAGAAGCGGGAACTTTCTTCTGTTCCCACATTCTCGTAAAGGGGAGCAGATGGGGCAAGGAAGTGGTTTTGAATCCTGGGCCGGTCGCCAGCATTCAAGATTGTTTTGCTGGTACTGGGGTGGGGCAGGAATTCCAGCCTGGTGTTCACCAGGGGGCAGAGCTGCATAGGGTGCGTTACAATGGTCAATGGGCTGTGCCAGGCTCAGTGGGCATTGGGGGTGGGGGCCAGGGAGGGCAGCCTGTATCCACAGGGCATTCTAAGAATTGCCTATTTGGTAACTTGGCAATGACAAATTATTTTTAGCTTTCTTTATTTTTTTTTCATAAAAAATTGAATCACCATGACAATGACAAAGACAATGACAATTCCACACCCCTCCTCACTACCACCCTGGAAAGGAAAAATACATGGAGTGTGAGGGTAGAAAAGATGACCCCCTCGGGTCTGGAGCTATATAGCACAGCGGGTAGGGCATTTGCCTTGCACGCGGCCGACCCGGGTTCGATTCCCAGTATCCCATATGGTCCCCTGAGCACCGCCAGGAGTAATTCCTGAGTGCAGAGCCAGGAGTAATTCCTGTGCATCGCCAGGTGTGACCCAAAAACCAAATAAATAAATAAATAAATAAATAAAACAAAAAAGAGAAAAGATCACCCCTCTTGCTAGCCAGTTCAGCTTAATCAACCCTAGCAATCAGTGGGGTGACATGTCACAGCCAGACTGCCCTCACATCCTGCTTTCTTCTTGTTGTTGTTGGGTCACACTCAGCAGTGCTCGGGGCTTATTCCTGGTACTCGGCTCAGAGGGCTCGGCTCGGCCCTAGGTGGGCTCGAGGAACCATACAGGATACCAAGGATTGAACCCAGGTCGGCCACGAGCAAAACAGGCGCTTACCTGCTATACTAGCACTCAGGCCCTAATTTTTAAAAAATTTTCAAAGTAAAAAATTTTTAAGTAAGGGGATCAGAGTTATGGTACAACCAACCAGTAGGGCATTTGCCTTGCACGTGGCCGACCTGGGTTCGATCCCCGCCATCCCATATGATCCCCCAAGCACTGCCAGGAGCAATTCCTGAGTGCAGAGCCAGGAGTAACCCCTGAGCATTGCTGGGTATAACCTAAAAAGCAAAAAAAAAAAAAGTAAATTAAAACTTTTTTCCTTTAATTTTTTTGGGGGGTGCTACAAAGTAGTGCTCAGGAGGGGGCTCTATAAGCAATTCTCAGTCAAGCAGGCCAGTCGATTAATGCAAAAGGTTCAAGGATGCAGTGTTTCTCAGGCTCTGCAGTTCTGGGAATCCCCAGGACAACCCAGCAGTGCTGGGAACCTCAGGGCTTCACCCGGCCATGATTTGGGACCATGTGGTGGCAGGAATAAAATCCAGGTCAGCCTATGTAAGGCAGCGCCCTAAATTTCCTGACCATCTTTTTTTTTTTTCAATGCCAGGATTAAACTCATGGCCTCACACTTCCCAGCCCACATTTTTTTTTTAAATTGATAACTATTCACTATTTACATAAGTTTCTGTGTCTTTGTTTTGTTTTTCTTGTCTTTTTTTTTCTTTTTTGGTCACACCCGATGATGCATAGGAGTTACTCCTGGTTCATGCACTCAGGAATTACGCTGGCAGTGCTCAGGGGACCATATGCGATGCTGGGAATCAGACCTGGGTCGGCCGCATGCAAGGCAAACGCCCTACCCGCTGTGCTATTGCTCCAGCCCCTTAGTTTCTGTGTCTTTGGCAGGAAGCACAGACCTCAGGAACCACCATCCAAATTTACTGCTTTTGTGGAAGGGCTTCAACATGCAACACTTTTTTTCTTTTTTAAATTGATTTTTGGGGTTTTGGTTTGGTTTGGTTTGGTTTTCGGACAATCCCCAACTGCAACTCAGGGCTTCCCCTGGGTCCCAGCTCAGGGCTCACTCCTGCCCACTGCCCTCCACGTGGTGGTGTCAGGGCTCTGGACATCACAGGCCCAGACTGTTACACACTCTCCCAGACCAAAATATTCATCCGCACTGATTTTTCCACTCTAATCCTTTAGTTTATTTTTTACTGGGGTGGGGGGTGCATTCCCGGTGGTGCCTAGGAGTCCCTCCTGGTGTGGCTCAGGGGACCATACGTGGTGCCGGGACCTGGGTGGCCGCATGCAAGGCCTTGTCCTGTCTCTCCCGCCCTCTTGGCTCAGAACTCCGTGACCCTCTGGCGTTCACGCGCGGCGTGTCAGGGTTCCGAGTCTGCACGCTGATGACAGCACATAATCCCACCAGAAACCTG